AGTGACAGTTAAAAGATGAGCTGCAGCAGTTTGCATCCTCTGTAGATAAGTAAAGTATGAAGCACTGACCCTAATATAAAGTGCATTACAGTAACCCAGCCGACTGCTAACAAAGACCATAAATAATTCACTTAAAGTTTATTTTTTAACACCGGTTATGGTGGATTTGGGTTTTTTGCGGTTTGTTGCAGTCAGTGTGGATATCCTAGACTCTAACACATTCAGGGTTTTCTTTGGTTGATGATGAAACACACCAGCTTTATGGATACAGTTCACCGGTCCGATTACGAACATAAGCACCACCCATGTGGAGAAAAAGTGAAAACACTTTCCTTTATGCTTTGAATTACCCATGAAAATGGCAATTTTCCCATTTTCATCCTAATTGGAGTCATAATTCTTAGTCAAATGGGACACTTTAATAAGCAAATCAGTGCAGGAGAATGGAGAAAGCTATAAAACTACAATTTCCTTTCCATATGGGCAGTTAAAATGAAGATTATTGCTATAATGCATTAACATACAGATGTTGTTTAAGAGGATGAAGTGATGGACTGTAGGCCCTTCTTGTATGAAGCAGCTGCAGCCTCGCAGTCCCTGCGTGGGACAATACAAGGAAGGCTTCAGATGGCGTCACCGCTACTGTGCATTGTCAGTAACCGGAGAGGAGAACAGGCCGAGTGTGTGAGAATGGATAACTCTGTTCCACTGTGTCTACACATGTACTCAAACAGCCCACTTTTGTGAATAAACAGGAGGATGTGAATCGAGTGGCTGCGTTGTGAGGGCTCTTTTGGTGTATTGTAAACAAATATGAAAAAATGAGCCACCTGTGACTCATTTACATGCGCTAAAATGCTAAATTGGTGATCCAATAGTCACAAGGCCTTATCCAAAGGGGACACTGGAAGCCTTATGATGCTCACTGTCTTCTGAAGCAGTGGGAGGTAGATCTGTGGTGGTCCCCTTTTCAAAATTGTGTGTTTTTTGTGTGTAGATGCGTAATCACCCAACCCACCTCCCTGGCTCCCAAAACGTCACCCTCTTCGTCACTGGCTCCCACTGTCGTCCACGGTGCACCCCACTCACAGACACACACACAGCACTGCACTGTAGCTCCACCCAGCTTTGCCAGGAGTACAACTGAGTTGGTGGTTCTCCATGTGCGGTAACTGCACAGGATTGGCTTTTCTTCTAGCTGAATCTTCATCGTGCTGCACATCTGGCTGGTGTCCAGTTCCCAGGCCCAGTCTTAGGAACTCTGGGAAGCCCAGAGTGCCAGTGGGAAGGTTGTGACCCCACACGACCTCTAGCTCAGCCCCTTGGGGATTGGAGTGTTGGTCTCACAGTGGGAGTGATGTCATCCCTCAGTGTAAACAAGACGTCTGATGAGCGTGACAGCTGCCGCTCTGTCTGATGGACGAGTCGATGAGCATGCTCATCTTTCAGCTTGCTTCCATTGGGCCCATTAAAGTCTGCTCTGAGCTCTAAAGTAGATTTAGACTGCAGATTTCAGTAAATTCAGAGCTGCTTCTGGTTTCAGTCAATCCCAGCTCTGAAGGACAAATCCAAGAGGAAACAGCCTGACATTTGGGAAAATCCACCTTCTGTAAGAAGGTACACCAGATTCGAGCCAGCAGGTCAGCTGACTTTAAAGAATGAAATGAAGCTTATTGCACTTTCAATTAATTCATGAACCACAGACTGTAAATAAAAGATGAACTTCCAGGACTGAAAGTAGAGCTGCAATCTTTAGAAAGGCCAGCAGGCGGCGACTCATCTGTCTGCAAAAAAGAAGTCCAATTGTAGAAGCAAAACAAACAAACACTGAGC